TGAAGTCTATTTCTTGGAATATTTGGTAGAGGAGATTGATGTTTTGTCTAAATTTTATATTATTTATAATAGCTAAAACAATGTAAATATTTTAGAAAGAGTTTTTTTTAAAGCTTTTCACCCCAAAGCAAGGCGGGACTGCCACAAGCACGCAAGGGGTTACAGAGAGTGGGAGCAAGAGTAAAGAGGCGTGAAAGAGGAAAGGATGAAGAAAAGGACGCAGAATAGATCAAGGCATATGGAGATGTCGATTGACATTGCATTTGAATAGTTGGAGATAATAGCTATCAGGGAAGCAAGTAAGAGGAAAGGAATTCCACAGACGGGAAGTGCAAGACATGAAGCTATTGGAGTAGAAGAGACGGCTACATTTAACCATTTCGACAGTGAAAGGGTGGGACTGAGATGCCGACCTAGTGGCGCGTTTAAATTCATCCAGTTTGGGAACTAGAGGAAATAGTTCGTCGGAGAAGTTATTGGGAAAGTATTTGTAGAAAAGACAGAGGGAGGCGACGGAACGTCTGTGAGAGAGCGACTGTAAACGAGATGCCAGATCAGGGCCAACGACATTGCATATCCGTTTCTGGATTTTGTCGAGGGCCTTAAGACGAATAGCGGGGGCACCAGACCATATATGGCAGCAGTATTCCATGCAAGGGCGAATGGCTGATTTATAGATTTTAAGGTTGACCTCGGGCGAGAAAAACTTTACGGCTCTACACGGTGAATCAATTTTCCATTGCGGTTTTACTGTTAATATGAGCGAAGCATTTCGGCGGGAAAGCCAAGCCTTGGCGGGGGGGTAGGTGCACATGAATTTGTATAAAAAATAAATATAGTACTTATCTAAACCCAGTTGAAACAGTACGATCACTAACTCAGTACTACTAAAAAGAACAAGACGAGATATCTCCGTTTAAGGACAGCGGATTGAGAATCTCTCCCTGTAGATTAAATAAAGTGTTCACTTCGACGCCTAAGGAATGACAGAACACAACGGTCAAAGCGTTGTGATAACAATAACAAAGATGATGATGTTAGTCCGAATGTAAATAATAAAATGTAAATCAAAATCGTTGTAATTTCATAAAGACTGGAAGAACTTATTTTTTAAATCATTTCACCCCAAGCAAGGCAATAAAGCCACTAGGACGCAAGATGTTACTGGGTGTTAGAAAATATACGAAAAACTATTATGAAGAAGAGAGGACAATAAAAGAACAAGAATTAAGAAAACGGAACATAATGATTGTCATTACATTTAAATTTTGGAAGATCATAGTTGACTGGGAAGCAAGAAGCCGGAAGAGAGTTCCACAAGCGAGAAGTGCGACAGAAGAAACTGTTAGCATAGAAGTTACGGTTGCATCTATTCTATCTATTCTAATATTAAAATGTTTAGTGTAAACTTTATAGAACTGAAGATATTTGTGAAAAGTGATAGTATGAAAAGTTGTTTATCTATAAAAAAAATCTTAAAATTTGCATTAGAAATTTTTAAAACGAAAACCATTTCGATTTGAAAAACAAAATTCAACTAATAATCGAAAACAAATTTTCGGTACCTATATAAATAAATAAAGGAAGAAATTTTTCAATAAAAAAAGGAAGAAATATTCAAAAATTAATAAAATGTGATTTTCTAGATTTTTTTTATATTCTATCTCTCACTTTCAAGATGGACCTACCCTGAAAATTATAAGCCGTTCCCATTTTTGTAAGGTGCCAAACTCAGAAAATCAACAGGGGATGAAATAATTATTTTCTCCACTGTATAAAATAAATGATGAAAATTTCGGTTGTTCCGAAGTAAAATTCAAAATTAAAATGGCGATATAAATTCCCTTTGTAAAATTAATGTTGCCTGATAAGAGATTGATTGGTATGCAAAAATCTCCACAAAATAAAAGATAAGACTTTTATTATCAATCAACCGGGTTAATGTAAGCATACAGCGATGCTCTCTCTCGGCTTTTCATCGACAGGACATTAAACTCCAAAGTTACGTCTCTATTCATATTCGTGTTGTTGTGATCACCGAACTGGGAATGAACGGTTGTACGCTCATAAGGAAATGATTGGTAAAAATAAACGCTACGGTAAGAAATAAAGACTCGAACCCTGTCTCCAGCATATTTTGTTATTTATTTAGGGCTTGACTTGCACAGTAGTTGGATTTAGGGGACACGGGGAAAACATATGATACTTCTGATATCTCACCCCTCAAAAAAAAAAACAACAAAAAAACAAAAAACAGATAAGCTTTTCCTCTCAACCAGCAAGTGCTCACTACCTCGAAAAACAGTCTGTCCTCATACAAGCGCGGTCCAGAACTCCCCTCAACCACAACTATTACATAGACCCGTAACCGGAAATCTTCAACGTCCGTTTTGTTGTCACTTGATCCAGAAAGTTTTAATTTTATAGAGTTGGCTGGGTGGCCACCTTGAAGACCCCATTTCACAGACCTTATCGCTAGTCGTAAAAAATGAAATAAAAACTTAAATAAAACCACACACCATTCCCTTGTATGTGGCTATCCTAATCAACTTGTCGCATACGTTGTTAGGTTTGCGAACTAGCTAGTTGAGTCCAACAAGTATATGTTGGAACAAATATTGAGATGCTAGACTTTTAACACTACTCATGCAAGCCGTTTATCGTGCATGTAATTCTCAAAAAGTATATTTTCAATCTGGTTTTGAGTTAACGTATTGATTGTGTTTGGAAAATAAAATAAAACATTTCCACCACTATTGATACACATATACAAAAATCTACATATTTAGTTAAAAATAAATCCTTGATAATGGAAGTGATCGGATATGTCGAATATTTGGACAGTTTTTACGCACTTTATGTCCAGAAAAGAAAACCCTTACACAAGAAAATTGAATAAAAAGGTTAACCACATTAATATACATCTATTTATTCTTATAATAATCCTTTCTTGTTCTCTAATTATCTTCATGATCTTGAGTTGAAATTCATCAAGGAAGGCTCCGTAATAAGTTTAAAAAAGAGTAGAGAGAAAAACTGGATCGGGAGGTCACAACTGGAAGACGGATCTTCCTTTTAACTTAGAGGTAAATACATTCTTATTGTTTAAAGTAGAGACCACTAACGTTATAAAAATCTCGGAGAATTTCAGTCAGATATTTTTAATCATTTCTAAGATACGACGGTCCAAAGCTTAATGCAATAATTGGACAATTTTGCTTTTACACGATTTGGACAATTTTGTTGTTACACCCATTATATATATATATATATATATATATATATATATATAAAATGACAATCTGTCTTGTCCACGGAATTGATCTGGGAATTAACTATATATATATATATATATATATATATATATATATATATATATATATATATATATGTGTGTGTGTGTGTGTGTGTGTGTGTATGTGTGTGTGTGTGTCTCTTTCTGTGTGTGTGTGTATATATAGAGAGAAAGAGAGGAAAGAAATGGGATGGGGGTGCAGAGAGAGAATGATTCCTGTTTATTAATGAATTAGTAGGTCAATACACAGGGTTTCCCAATATCAGTGTCAAGCCTAATTTTCATGGTTTGTCAACTCTGACATTAAGAGGATAGTGTAACTTAATCCAGTGGTTTGCCCTTTTCTTTCTGTCGGCCATCACTCTCGATCACACATATTCCTACACCCCCCCACCCCGACACACAAATCGAAATATGTAATCATTAAATTTGTTATTTACTCATGTTAGAAAATGTCTCCCTCTTTCTAATGAATTCATTCCAAGCAAAGTTCGGACAACTGAACTTTGTATTGTTGTTGTTACCGTAGGATTTCGGCCGATCCATTCTACAGCTTTCCAGGAGTCACTCTAAATCGTAGAGAGGTCACTCTAAAATAAGAAGTTTTGTATCAAAATAAAGAAAAAATTAAGTTGTCCGGACGAATTTTAAAACGTTAATGACACTTTTTCAACGTTATAAAAACCTGTTTACAGTGCATTCATTTTTTTATGTCACCTCCCTGCAGGCGATCATGGCTCTCCACAGAGTCCTTTTTTCTAATCTTCAAAACACCACAACTTGTTGGGAAGGATACTGGAATTTTTCTGGTTTCTTTCTCCACTGATTTTGAATGCAAATTAGTCTTTCTCCTGGACTGACTGTCTGTCAAGACTAGAGAGCCTCGTTTACTCTGCTATTTAACCCTTCTCTTAGACCAGAGTTAGGACCCAGCGTTAGGGAGTATAATCTACCCTAGTCAATAATATAAAACAATTAAAAATTATATGATATTTGCCAGAATGACGAATATATATATATATATATATATATATATATATATATATATATATATATATATATATATATATATATATATATATATATATATATAATAAATGAACATAAAGTCAACACTTAGAGGCGACAGTCTGTTTCATGAGAGATGCAATTCAGGCCTGACGATTGCATCTAGCATGAAACAGACTATCGCCTCTAAGTGTTGACTTCTATGATCACTTTTATATTTACACACGCTCTATCTCTGATATTGAGCACTTTATCCCATAAATATAGCACATCTTAAGACTATATTTCATATATATATATATAAATATACAGAGCAACATCGGTTCTTGAACGTCCCACATGTCGAACAAATAGATTTTCGAACAGAAAATTCGAAATGAAAACGCCTCGATTATCAAACAAAATATCGCTTCTTGAACAACATTGCCAAACCGAGCCGAACCAAGTTAACCCGAACGGAATCATTTTTGAGTCGACCGCCATGTTGTATATATTCGTATGTAGTGCTGTGCTTTTCTTTTGCAATTCTATTGTACTGTGTCATTTTTTTCTCTTCATTAGTCATGGCTCCAAAGAAAGCTATCAGTGATACTAGCAAAGGAGAAAGAAAAGTTAAGAGAAAAACAATTGTTGATGATATTGTCTCAATGGGAAAAAAACTATGAGCTTATATGTCGACAGTGAAAATATTGAAGACATGGTGGAAGACTACCTTACTGTGCTTACCAAAGAAGAGTTCGTACGTCTTCAGAATGGACGGCAAAAGATTTTGGCTGAGGAATTGTATTCTGAGGAGAAGGAAGGAAAGGGGAGTGCCCCAAGTTCTTTAACCAAAGACATTTGTTCCAAATGGGGTGATGTGCAAAGTTTTGCGGAAAAATATATATCCGCTTGGTCTAACGATGTCCGCTGATATGAAGTGGAACGAATATATAGACTCAATAACTTCATCTACCGCAAGGAAAGTTGGTTCTCTGTGTTGTGCCAGAAAGTTTTTCTCGTCTGAGTCCATCCTTCAAATCTATAAATCAACCATTCCGTCCTTGTATGGAATATTGCTGTCATATATGGTCTGGAGATCCCGCTGTTCTACTCGAGGTACTCAACAAAATACCGAGACGGATATGCAATGTGATAGGTCATGATCTGGCATCTAGTCTACAGTTGCTTTCTCACAGACGTGCTGTGGATTCCTTCTGTCTCTTCTATAAGTATTTTCACGGCAACTGTTACGACAAGTTACTTTCTCTGGTTCCCAGACTGCATGAATTTAAGCCAGTTATTAGGTTGGCATCGGTGCCACCCTTTCACTGTCGAAATGGTTAAATGTAACCGTCTCTTCTACTCAAACAGCTTCTTCTGTCGCACTTCGCCTCTGTGGAATTCTCGTCCTGTTACTTGTTTCCCTGATAACTATAATCTTCAAATATTCAAGTGTAATGTCAATCGACATCTTCTGATACCTTGATCTTGTTCCCCTGTCCTTCTTTTTATCCTCTCCCCAAACACGCCTCTTTTTTCTTGTTCTCTACCCCCTCTGTAACCCGCTTGTGTGCTAGTGGCACTCCCGACTTGGTGTGAAATGGTAAAAAACGACAAAAAAAAATGATACATTGATAGCAAATAGAACAGTAAACCTTTTCAACGACAATGTCATGTCTCATTTTTGAAAACAATTTACAACGCAGGTAAAAACAACTAACATTGGACAGGTTGTTACTGAAAGAAAAGAAAAAAAGAAAAGAAAGCCTAGTGAAAGATTGACTTGAGCCAAAGAGACAGAGAAGGAAAGAACCCCCGCCCCCCGAAAGAAAATTACCAGAAGTTTTAGGGAAGGGGAAAACCCTTCTAAGAAATAACGCCTGCCCTTCCCTCCCTCACATCCATCCACTTATGCCATCACATCGCAATCAATAAGGTGCGTATATAATGCAGTGTTTTTAAATTTATTTCTATTAACTTTATCTTTTCATTTTAACCACACACACACACACACACACACACACACACATATATATATATATATGATAGAATAAGAAACAAATCAATAACGTTTATAAATTTAAAATGTTTATTTAAGCATCATAAGAATTTTCATTGGTCAAATTTTGTTTTGTTTGTTTTTTCATTGGTCAAGTTTTGTGTTTGTTTTTCATTGGTTAGGTTTTGTGTTGTTTGTTTTACATTGGTCAAGATTATAATGAAAAGATAGAAAGGTAGATACATACAAAATATGTTTGTGCGTGTGTGTGCGTCTGGTATATGTGCGTGGCCACGTTAACACACGCACGCACTCACACACACACACACACACACACACACATTAACATTGCAAGACAAAGACACATGAAATCTACCTGACTAATGAAACGCAAAGAAATAAAAGTCCCGGCATTTTATCTTAGCATAGTTTCTTTCCAACAAAATTCTTATGAAGCTGAAATAAAAGTGAAATATGTTGAATTTATAAACGTTTCCTATTTGTTCCTTATCCTATCATTCTATCGGTTTCTAATCAATATATGTCTATATTATTTAACTACAACTGTTTGAATGAAAATATGCTGTCTAAATATACATAATACACACACACACACATATATATATATGTAATCTGTTATAGAATGATTGTTATCTATTGGTAGAAGCATATTTTCTTATATGCCCTATCTCTATAATTTGATAATACAATAGCTACATTTACTGGGAAGAAAGTGTTTTCATTTTTGGGTTGTTAGCATTCGTCTAACAAGGTAATGACAAGGAATGCTTTACTTCCTGCACATTCCCAAAATTAAAATTACATAAAACAGAATTACTGTTGTATTTTTCATTTCCGGCAGTTTACAAAATAGGTACTCGATCCACTCCCAAAATTAAAAAGCCTTTGTAGTTACGACAAGAGAAATGGTAGAACAGACAAATGTGCGTGCAGATAGATAAGAACAGAGTGATGTACATATGAATAAACTTACATAAAAACAAGAGTCCAGGATAGAATGATGTCTCTTTACTATATATATATATATATCCGATGCGATGTAAACGAAAGTAATATATAAATTCCAACGTTCACAGCATTAATCCAAAAGAGGGCTCGATGCCGATAGTAGCGCGATAATTATCTTTTTTGCTTTATGTGTATTTTTTCTTCTCAAACAAATGGAAAAAGGAAGTGACGTTTCACATACGGCTTGCCTACAACCAGGATTGTTCATAACCATTTTCGATTCTCACTCGTCGAAGTGCAGTTGAAATGCACTGAAACGAAGTTGAATCTTTGCAGTGAGTAAAATGGTTTTGTCTATATGATAAAAGTATAATAAATAAATTATATATATATATATATATATATATATATATATATATATATATATATATATATATAGGCAGGTACATGCACACGCCCAAGCAAATACATACAAACGCACACATATACACACGTCCACACGCACAATGAAAGAAGGAAAAATCAATCTTGCATCAATAAAAGGTGCATAAATTATTTCTTAACTCTATAAAAGAAAAGCGAGAAAATAAACAGTCAGTTGCTGAGTCGGTTGGTTAAAATACGAGAATCCAGACTAAAATAAGGTTTAAAGTGATAACATTTGTCGGATCAATACATAAAAAATTCATTACTTCTTTAGAAATTGCTTTATTTATATTTGGATATAAAACTGAGCAGATATGAGAATTTCCAGAGTCTGTGATCAGCGAAGGTTCTTCGTGGTTAAAATCAGTTAAAGCACGCCGGATCTAACACACACACACACACACACACACACACACACACACACACACACACACACACATATATATATATATATTTATATATATATATATATATATATATATATATATATATGGTGTAAAATCAGCAGATAACAATGAAAAATATACATAGGAGTAACTGGAAAGAGCTGGAAACAGAAAGTACGCTCACAAAATATTCTTTACAAATAGTAAATACTCAAACTGCACAGAGCTTTCTAAATATATATGAGAAATTATCTCGGAAAATAAAGAAAACAGCATCAAGCTACAAGAATAAATCCAAAACCTGTAAACTCTATCTAGAGAAGAAAATAGTTATAATTACCTTCCCAGACAAACAAAAATTACTAAATAAACCCACCTGATTGCTATTGTTCCAAAGTTTACTCTGATCCATGGTGGTAGCACTTGTTAGAGTCTCAGCTATAGGCAAATAGCAAATCCCAAATCTGGGATCAAAACATTATGAAATTATAAAAATACATTTTTCTAGTAAAAAATTTTCATAGCAAAAAAATGACCAGCAATACATTCTTGGAAAAGGAAGAAAAAATTGCCAGCAATACGTTTGTGTAAAAGAAATTACTGATGCACTCAAGAAAATTAAATAGCGGCGTTAAATGACCCATAAACTGTTGATATGCCGTTAAATAAACCAAACGAAACCAAACTAAATAAATGATCAGAACTTATTTCAAAATATAAACATTAAAACAAATTATGCCTTAACATAAACAAATAAAATACCCCCCACAAAAAAATAAACAAAAATCTAAATAAATAAACAAATTAAGTAAATAATAAACAAAATAACAAACTACTAATGCATACATAAACACGAGTAAATATAATAATAATCAACAACAAATAAGTAATCAATGATACATAACGATTAAAAAAACATAAAATAGTTACAAATAGCCGCATCCAGATTCACAATTATTTCCACTCAATAGACTCTAGAATAATTTGAAACATAACCCTTACCGCCTACGCAATAACCGTCAGGATAATACAATACACTTAGTGCCCATAATACACCATTGTCAAGCATATATAAATAGTCAACCCAAAACACAACACTCATGACCTGAAGATTTCATTCAAGTATGAAACAGACTATTGCCGCTTGTTTTTGACCTCACTGTCCACTATATATATATATATATATATATATATATATATATATATATATATATATTCTCGTCAGGCAAACATACATGCATGAATGCACACACCCATGTAGAAATGTATCTATTTAATATGTCGGTATTCTATGAAATTCCTAGAGATATGACCCATGAGGCATGAACGCCAGTAAAGTTTAACGGGTCATTTAGAAAATCACGTTTTCAATATTGAGGTCAGCAGATAATTTCATAAACACACAGTTGCAGATATCAGCGGATTTCGCGTATATGAGAGGAGCATATGTTTCTTGAGAGCAAGATTTGCAGAAGATGACAAACCTCAAAACAAAGAAAAACAAAACGCCTGCAGCGGAAACATCCTGGAAAACAAAATAACAAAAGCGAACACCATTGGAAAATTCCTAAACTTAAGGAATCAGCACATATGCTAGGCCGCAAAAATCTCCTGAGCCGACCAAGCATAGAAATGAATACAATATGAGAACCAGTAATAAGGAGTACCAGAGAAAAGCGATAATAACAACAAAAAGCTGCAATATGAGCTCTAGTAAAAACATGTAATGATAGCAGCAAAAATTGCAATATGAGCACTGGTAAAAATGGTTGCTGAAGACATTAGGTTTATAATACCTAGAAATTCATACACAGATGTCCTCAAGGACGCATGGCGTTGGTTAGATCCAGTGACAGGATCCAAAGAGTGTGGGTTCAATATCCGGTTAAGGCAGCGGAGAACTTTCCTGAGGAAAATTAACATGAGATAACTGACATCCATTAAACATGGCACGTGGAACTAGAACAGTCTACTTCAGTGAGCGAAATAAAGGGTTCAGTTCGACATTCCAACCACCTGAAGAAGGCCGGAGCGTACAACGGCCGAAACGTTGTAATAAATATGGCGACAAAGATGAGGACAATAGTCCGACTAATGTAAATAATGTGCATAATATAGACAGATACAAAAGCGAGAAATTTGGTTCAAATCCTAAAATGAATGAATGATATAAAAAAAAGTCATAATTTGTATGCATGTGAGCGTATGTGTAGATGCGCGGTGGTGTAATGGATAGTGTCTCGTAATAAAGTATCGGAGAGCCGAGTTCGAGTTCCAGTCGTGATCGTTACATTCACTTACGCGCAAATACCCTTGGGAAAGGTATGAATTCATTTCTTCTCTCCCCTCCCAGCCATGGTTAAATAGCAGAACAGACTTGGCCCTATGGAGAAGGGAAACTTAATTCAAACCAGCCTTAGTTGGGGATATATCAGGCTATCTTGCATGACAAACCACTGCTGCTCCGACTGTAGTACGTGGGGGGTTGTGACTCGTATCATTATCGTGCGAATTTGTGAGTGTGGAGTGCTGAAATGTTCTCGTACCAACCAAAAATGGAAGCGCATAGCGCCACGTATCTTTTATTTTTATATTCTATTTTTTAATGATTTCACCCCAAACAAGGCGATAAAGTCACTAAGACGCACGCTTTATTGAAGAAGAGAAACAATAGAGAGAAAGAATGCGACAATAAAAAGAACAGGATTCAAGGAGACAGAAAATGACGACTGATGTATTTTTGAAGATCGTAGTTGACAAGAAAGATGGAAGAGAGTTCCACACATGAGAAGTGCGAGAAAAGAAACTATTATAATAGAACTTATGTCTAGTAATTTCAACAGTAAAATGATGAGATGTAATTGACAATCAGGTTGTATACTGAAATTCATTATGTTGAAGTAACAAAGAAGAAAGCTTATCAGAACAATCGCCATGAATATATTTATAGAATAGGCGCAAAGAAGCTATGTTACGCATGGAACCGAGATGCTAGTTGAAGACCGATAATATTGCAGATTCTATGAATTTCATCAATAATTATTATTATTATTATTGATTTGTTTTTGTTTTTTGCGGCTTATCAACCCTTTGCAAGTTATTTAAAGGTAAAACAAATATTTTAAGTCTAACAATTTGTTTGAGATAATAATAACTTTAATAACTACTGATACAAATTCTACTAATTGATCCATAGCTGGATGGAGAAAATGTGAATTCATACCTTTCCCAAGAAATTTAGTGAATATAATGAACCCCGCTCGAACTGGAACTTGGTTTTCCGATTTTCTTCATTACACCACCTGCACATCCAAGCAGGTGGTGTAATGACATCTGGTTTACCCAAGTGACCAATTATGTAGCTACTGACCAGACTCGACGTAGCTTAAATTCAGTAATCGTATGAGAACCGGTTTCGATTTGATATTGCCGTAAGCCAAGATTCTTTCGATATATAGAAGAAACACCAGACCGTATGTGACAGCAATATTTAATATACAGACGAATTTTGCAAGACAGATTTTGGTGAGAAAAATTGTCTGGAACGAAATAGTGAACCAAGTGACTGACTTGAATAGACTCGATATAATCATTCCAATTCATATCAATGGAAAAGGTTTAGAGAGAGAAGGCGCCATCGGTTAACTCTGAGCTATTCAAGCGGAATCAAAATATAAAGATCATTGAAACTGTTGCAAAATCAATTTGGAGACGTCCATTGTATATCATTTCTGGTCGGCATTTTTTGCCACCTATTTGGCTAACAGTTTTTACCAAATTGCCAAGGAATTATGAATGTTTCACAGTAATCTCTAGTGTCTATAAATAAATATATTCTTCCTGTGTTATGTGATGACCTCTCCCATCGTTTCGCCCTTGATACTTTTGTTCGTATATTCGATGATTTTTACGGCCAGATTCAGACTCACACACGATTCTATATACAGGATATGGAACAGCACCCCTTATAAAAGAATTTTAGAACGTGTCCATGTTCTGCCTTATAGAACTGTAGATGTACAATACGTCGTAACCTTTCAAAAGTTGTAGTTCTTTTATGTGAATATTCCTCCACTTGGTACGATGAGAAACCATTTTCTCAAAGAACGACAAAGGAGAGGCCACAGAATTTAGGTTTTGTTTAAAGTTATTCTTGCTCAACAAGGGTCTTCCAACTTTCGGGGAACCGTGATATATATATATATATATATATATATATATATATATATATATATATATATATATTATATATAGTTTTAAAGTGTGCTATATTTATTGGATAAAGTGCTCAATATCACAGAGAGAGCGTATGTAAATATAAAAGTGAACATTGAAGTCAACACTCAGAAGCGACAGGCTGTTTCATGCTACTAAAAACATTAAACACCGCTTTTTAACAGGGGGATACGAGATTTTTTATCATATCCATATACATGAAAGATTGGATTATCTCTAGTATAGGCTGCAGTCTCTCAAACTTTTATAAAGCAATTATTTTAATTTTCTAGGTGTTATAACATCTAGATAGTTTCATAAATTGAAATGATATCAATATGACAAATTCAGATTTATTTGAATATGTAGGAAGTAAAGTCTTAGTAAAATATTAGAAGACAGTCTTAGTTTGTGTCATTGTATTTAAAGTAGATAACATGTTTGATTTTATTTCAGGATGTTTAAATCTTGGAAATTTTTATAAAGCAGTAATTTTAATTTTTTAGCTGTTCTCACTTCTAAATAGTTTCTAAGTATACTTGTTCTCACTTCTAAATAATTAATTTTTTGCGCAGAAGAGATGATAGCTAATGAGGATTTTCCGAGGCGTGTTTATTGCTTGTTATAATTATACTTATAAAAAAATATTTTTTTTTTACAACGGTTGTGTTGAAATCTGGGCTAATTTGGTTTAAAATAAATAGTAAAATAGTAGTAATTCCTCAAGAATATTTCTATTGACAAACAAAAGATAGCTATGCTAATTTATTTAAAGAATTTAAAATCAGTTTACTTCAAGCTATGTAAATGTCGCTAAACTATATCACTAGTAAAATAAATATTCAAGTCGGGTGCTGTCTAGTTCGAAGGTGGCTTTGTTTGAGGCGAGGGCGTAATCATTATCCTAGGGGACCCCAAAAGGCCTTAATCCAGCCCGGCATAATGGCATCATGTTATTCACTCGTTTTAACAATGATCTGAATATCGGATATCGGTGTTGAAAATGGAATAGGCAAGCCGAATTCAAATCCAGGTTTAGTCTATTGCATTTAATCACACCAAACTACCTTTCTAAAAGGCATGAATCCATCTCTTCTTTCTATCCAGTTATGGGTTAAATAGCACGGTAGATTTAGTTCGCTAGCCTTAAGTGGCAACTAATTTAAGAGAAAGAAAAGTCTGTATTTCAAAATGTGCAGAAAAAAAGCAGAAACGACAATTGCACTATTCTTTCCAAAAGTATTCTTTCCAAAAGTATTCTTTCCAAAAGTATTCTTCCCAAAACTATTCTTCCCAAAAGTATTCTTTCCAAAAGTATTCTTTCCAAAGAAAAGATTCTTCCCAAAAGTATTCTTCCCAAAAGTCTTCCAAAAGTATTTCAAAAAGTATTCTTTCCAAAGTATTCTTTCCAAAAGCTTTCCAAAAGTATTCTTTCCAAAAGTAAAAAAAAAGTATTCTTTCCAAAAGTATTCTTCCCAAAACTTTCCAAAAATTCTTCCCAAAAGCTTTCAAAAGTATTCTTCCCAAAAGTATTCTTCCCAAAAGTATTCTTCCCAAAAGTATTCTTTCCCAAAAGTATTCTTCCCAAAAGTATTCTTCCCAAAAGTATTCTTCCCAAAAGTATTCTTTCCAAAAGTATTCTTTCCAAAAGTATTCTTCCCAAAAGTATTCTTCCCAAAAGTATTCTTCCAAAAGTATTCTTCCAAAAGTATTCTTCCCAAAAGTATTCTTTCCAAAAGTATTCTTCCCTTTCCAAAAGTATTCTTCCCCAAAGTATTCTTTCCAAAGTATTCTTCCAAAAGTATTCTTCCCAAAAGTATTCTTTATTCCCAAAAGTATTCTTTCCAAAAGTATTCTTCCCAAAAAGTATTCTTCCCAAAAGTATTCTTCCCAAAAGTATTCTTCCAAAAGTATTCTTCCCAAAAAGTTTTCTTTTTCAAAAGTAAAAGTTCTTCCCAAAGTATTCCAAAAGTATTCTCCCCAAAAGTTTTCTTTCCAAAAGTATTCTTCCCAAAAGTATTCTTCCCAAAAGTATTCTTCCCAAAAGTTTTCTTTCCAAAAGTATTCTTCCCAAAAGTATTCTTCCCAAAAGTATTCCCAAAGTATTTTCTTCCAAAAAGTATTCTTCCCAAAAGTATTCTTCCCAAAAGTATTCTTTCCAAAAGTATTCTTTCCAAAAGTATTCTTCCCAAAAGTATTCTTTCCAAAAGTATTCTTTCCAAAAGTATTCTTCCCAAAAGTATTCTTCCCAAAAGTATTCTTTCCAAAAGTATTCTTCCCAAAAGTATTCTTCCCAAAAGTATTCTTTCCAAAAGTATTCTTCCCAAAGTCCAAAAGTATTCTTTATTCTTCCCAAAAGTATTCTTCCCAAAAGTATTCTTTCCAAAAGTATTCTTCCCAAAAGTATTCTTTCCAAAAGTATTCTTTCCAAAAGTATTCTTCCCAAAAGTATTCTTCCCAAAAGTATTCTTCCCAAAAGTATTCTTCCCAAAAGTATTCTTCCCAAAAGTATTCTTCCCAAAAGTATTCTTCCCAAAAGTATTCTTCCCAAAAGTATTCTTCCCAAAAGTATTCTTTCCAAAAGTATTCTTCCCAAAAGTATTCTTCCAAAAGTTTTCCAAAAGTATTCTTCCCAAAAAGTATTCTTTCCCAAAAGTATTCTTCCCAAAAGTATTCTTTCCCAAAAGTATTCTTCCCAAAAGTATTCTTCCTTCCCAAAGTATTCTTCTTTCCCAAAAGTATTCTTTATTCCCCAAAAGTATTCTTCCCAAAAGTATTCTTTCCAAAAGTATTCTTCCCCAAAAGTATTCTTCCCAAAAGTATTCTTTTTCAAAAGTATTCTTCCTAAAAGTATTCTTTTCAAAAGTATTCTTCCCAAAAGTATTCTTCCCAAAAAAGTATTCTTCCCATTTTCCAAAGTTTCTTCCCAAAAGTATTCTTCCCAAAAGTATTCTTCCCAAAAGTATTCTTCCCAAAAGTATTCTTTCCAAAAGTATTCTTCCAAAAGTATTCTTCCCAAAAGTATTCTTCCCAAAAGTATTCTTCCCAAAAGTATTCTTCCAAAAAGTAAAAAGTTTTCTTTTCCAAAGTATTCTTCCAAAAGTATTCTTCCCAAAAGTTCTTCCCAAAAAGTATTCTTCCCAAAAGTATTCTTCCAAAAAGTATTCTTTCCAAAAGTATTCTTCCAAAAAGTATTCTTCCCAAAAGTATTCTTTCCAAAAGTATTCTTCCCCAAGTATTCTTCCCAAAAGTATTCTTTCCAAAAGTATTTTCTTTCCCAAAAGTATTCTTCCCAAAAGTATTCTTCCAAAAGTATTCTTTCTTCCCAAAAGTATTCTTCCCAAAAGTATTCTTCCCAAAAGTATTCTTCCCAAAAGTATTCTTCCCAAAAGTATTCTTTCCAAAAGTATTCTTTCCAAAAGTATTCTTTCCAAAAGTATTCTTCCCAAAAGTATTCTTCCCAAAAGTATTCTTCCCAAAAGTATTCTTTCCAAAAGTATTCTTCCCAAAAGTATTCTTTCAAAAGTATTCTTCTTTCTTTCAAAAAGTATTCTTCCAAAAGTATTCTTTTCCAAAAGTATTCTTTCAAAAGTATTCCAAAAGTATTTCTTTTTCCAAAAAGTATTCTTCCCAAAAGTATTCTTCCCAAAAGTATTCTTCCCAAAAGTATTCTTCCCAAAAAGTATTCTTTCAAAAGTATTCTTCCCAAAAGTATTCTTTCCAAAGTTTCCCCAAAGTAAAAAGTATTCTTCCCAAAAGTATTCTTCCCAAAAAAAATTCTTTCCAAAAGTATTCTTCCCAAAAGTATTTTCTTTCCAAAAGTATTCTTCCCAAAAGTATTCTTCCCAAAAGTCTTCCCAAAAGTATTCTTCTTTCTTCCCAAAAGTATTCTTCCCAAAGTATTCTTCCCAAAAAGTATTCTTCCCAAAAGTATTCTTCCCCAAAGTATTCTTCCCAAAAGTATTCTTCCCAAAAGTATTCTTCCAAAAAGTATTCTTTCCAAAAGTATTCTTTCCAAAAGTATTCTTCCAAAAGTATTCTTTCCAAAAAGTATTCTTCCCAAAAGTATTCTTTCAAAGTATTCTTTCCAAAAGTATTCTTCCCAAAAGGAAAAGTATTCTTCCCAAAAAAAGTATTCTTGTATTCTTTCCAAAAGCTTCCCAAAGTTCTTCCCAAAATTCTTCCAAAAGTATTAAAAGCACTTCCCAAAAGTATTCTTTCCAAAAGTTTCCCAAAAGTAAAAGTATTCTTCCCAAAAGTATTCTTCCAAAAGTATTCTTCCCAAAAGTATTCTTCCCAAAAATATTCCCAAAAGTTTCTTCCCAAAAGTATTCTTTCCAAAAGTATTCTTCCCAAAAGTTTCTTCCCAAAAGTTTTCTTTCCAAAAGTTTTCTTTCCAAAAGTATTCTTCCCAAAAAAGTATTCTTTCCAAAAGTTTTTCTTCCCAAAAGTTTTCTTTCCAAAAGTATTCTTCCCAGTATTCTTTCCAAAAAACCCAAAGTATTCTTTCCCAAAAGTATTCTTCCCAAAAGTATTCTTCCCAAAAGTATTCTTCCCAAAAGTTTTCTTTCAAAAGTATTCTTCCCAAAAGTATTCTTCCCAAAAGTTTCTTTCCAAAAGTTTCTTCCCTAATTCTTTTATTCTTCCCAAAAGTATTCTTTCCAAAAGTATTCTTCCTAAAGTATTCTTCCTAAAAAGTATTCTTTCCAAAAGTATTCTTTCCAAAAGTATTCTTCCCAAAAGTATTCTTCCCAAAAGTATTCTTCCCAAAAGTATTCTTTCCAAAAGTATTCTTCCCAAAAGTACATATCAATTCACAGATAATAATGAAAAAAAATTGAAGTGTTTCAGGATCGTCTACATTCTGAGGATAAATGACAATAGGAGGAGGAGGAGAATATATGAGGCTCGGTCAAAAAATAGCACCTGTTCTACTACAATTTTAAAAAATATTAGAATTTCTCGAATTTTATTTTGTTAAAAAATAAAGTTTCTAGAAGAGGAACATTTATGGAATTACTTTCTCGTTTCCCCTTAATTCTTTTTCAAAAGAGCCGCTCCTCTTGACACATGTAGAAAGCAAAGTGCTGTCATAGAATGTCTTTTTCTTAAAGGAGAGAGGACTGCAAACATTCACAAAATGTTAGTGAGTGTTTGTGGAAAGGCTTCACTTGATGTAAGCACTGTAAAGAAATGGTCAGTAAAGTTAAAGGCAATCAGAGAGAGATAGACAGAGAGAGAGAGAGAGAGAGAGAGAGAGAGAGAAAAAAACGACTTTTAGTGAGAGGGAGACAAGTTTATGCTCAGTAGTACGACTATCCATTCTGGGGTTCTTACGTGTGTATATTATCAAAACACAGAGCAAGTCTTTACCAAGCTTAGTCTCTTTTGAAGATGACTGATGTGCTTTTGCAACATAACAATGCAAGGCTACACAACAGATTCAAGACTAGACAAGTAAGCATATCATTGGTTGGAATAACTTACTCAACAGCCCAGACCTAGCACCCTCAGACTTTCCTTTGGAAGTACTCACATGACACCAGTTCTCCAGTGATAAGAATGAGACGGATCTACCATATTTTCTTGTGTATAATGACTTGTGTATAATACGCCCCCCAACGTGTTTCTGAAGTTAAAAACAAGGACTAAATTACTTCCTTGAGTATAATACGATCCTGTAGTAAGTTAATCTTTATGTTGTACCATATTAAACAATAAAATCTCAATGTCATACGTATATTTCAGTAAAATATTTAATTTTTCACGATATGAAAGAAAAGAAAGTAACCGGAAGTTTAGTCCTTGCGTTTTGCTTCTGCTCATTTCCGTTTCAAAACATATTTTTGAAATGTCAGTTAAAGTTGCTTTGTTGTAATATCAATGTTATCAAAATATGACAGATCTTGTGTATTCCCTTTATTCATTTTTTAATCAATTTTACTGAATTTTTGAGACAAAAGACATCCAATTGAGTTGATTTCTAAAGAAAAAAGATGGCCGCCATATCAAATACTTTTTGTAAACAATTGTTATTAACCCCTGCCTACTTTGTGTTTTATTATCTATTGTACTAAATGAATGGATTTGCAATTTTGCTGTTTCAAATAAGAGGTTTTCTGAGTAAAAATCTCGAAACGTTTAGTTGTACGACTCCAATTTTTGTTTGTAATTTTCATTCAAAATATATCGTATTATACACCAGAAAATACGTTGTATGTTCTCATTCATAGGATGAATACCACGAATGTGCAGAGAGGATATTATGTTGGGAATTAGATTTGGAATTTGGGACCCTGAAACTTTTGTGTTCATTTTGGTATATTTTGCGTGCATCTATTGTTAAACCCGTTGTAATTAAAAACATGGACAGGCAAAACTTTCTGACAGAAACTTGCAAAGCGATTAAGAAAAGAGATTATGATGAAGACTAGATTTGGAATCCTGCTTCTTTTGAATTTTGGTGCGCTATGAGTGCTTCTGCTGTTACATCTGTGTAATTAAAAAACGGACATTATTTTTGAACCGATCATCGTAATACGATTGAGAAAAAAGGTAGACGATGACGAAGATTAGTTTGGTATTTCTGAGAATTTTGTGTTCATTTTGGTTTAGCTTATGTGTTTCTATTGTTAAATCTATTTTAATTAAAGACGAATTTGCAATACATTTTGACTTTCGTAGAATAAAGGATAAAGGAAATGGATTGAGGAACTAGGTTTGGAATTCTAAGGCGTTTGTGTTGATTTTGCTTTGCTTTGAGCGTTTCTCTTATTAAATCGAATGAAATTAAAAAACAAAACAAAACTAAAACAGGCATTACTTTTGACTGAATCTCTCTCTCTCTCTCTCTCTCTTTTATTATATATATATATATATATATATATATATATATATATATTGTGTGTGTATTTAGGCAACATTTTTTCATTAATGCATGTTTCATTAAATAATATAGACAAATTTTGGCTATTTATTTTAAGCAAATTCCTTTCATATCGTCTGATAAGCTTAATAACATTATCATTGAAAGACGAAAGAAAATGACCATATTGATACATGTTTTTTAATCCTATCTAAGCTTTCGGCTTACATAAGCAATAATCAGAGATAACAAGTACATTACAATAAATTAAACAATACACGGACATAGCAACAGTGATAGTCTGTTTTGTTAGCATGGAAGATTTCCAAGAGACGACAAACTCGTGCATACGAGCCACTGGAAGCGAAAATCGCACCGAGGACCATGACATTACACATGACCACGCGAGAGTGAAAACGAGAAGTGTGAAGTATTTGGTATAAATGGCTTCTGTTATCAATCATAGGCATTTAAGTATATTTGTGGAGTTTTCAGGTTATTTTGTTCAGATTTCGACTGTTTTTTGTATATAGCTTCAAGAATTTTTAGTTTTTTGTTTATTGTTTTCATGTTTAAGTATAGTTGTGTTTTCAACAAGGATTTTACGGAATTGTGTATGCGACCAGGCATGTTGTCTCAATGATAATGTTATTAAGCTTAGCAGACGATATAAAAGGAATTTGCTTAAAATAAATAGACAAAACTTGTAGATATTATTTAATGAAACATGCTTTCATATATATATATATATATATATATATATATATATATATATATAGTGAAAATTCAAATCAATATCCAGCAGCCAAGTTTGTTTCATGTTTAAACGAAATCTTCAGACCTGAAGATTGCGTTTAAGCATGAAGCACACTAGGTGTTAATGTCAATGCCCACTTTTTTATTTACATACATTATATATCCCTGATATTAATTACTTTAACACATAAATATAGCATACCTTATAACAATATTTTATTATATATATATATATATTAATCGAGTTCACTCCAAGCAAGGCAATAAAGCCACTAAGGCGCAAAGGGTTTCGGGTGTGGAATAATTAGAAACAGAAACATTACTAAAAAGAAAGAATAAAAGTAGATTAATCAGGATGGCTGTAGATAGTTATTGGCACTGCATTTAAAGTTTTGAAGATTAAAGTTGGCTGGAAATCATGGAGGTGGAAGGGAATTCCACAAGGAAGAAGTGCGAGAAAAAAAAACTGTTAGCATAGAATTTACGGAAAGGTCTAGCCAACTCAATTGTAAATTGATGAGATCTCAATGCCATTCTAGTACTACGCTTAAATTCACAAAGTCTGCGTACCATAGTGAAGAGCTCATCTGAACAATTACCATGAAATTATTTGTGGAAAAGGCACAGGGGATCAATTTTACAGTAGTGGGAAAGAGACTGAAGCCGAGATGCTAGATCAGTTCCAGTAATATTGCTGATTTTTCTTTAGTTTTTATCGAAATGTCAAGTCAGGACACTGCAGATTCTTCGTTGGATTGTGTTAAGAATCTCTAGATACATAGCATAAGCACCAGACCGGTTGTGGCATCAATGTCCAATGCAAAGACGAGTGGTAGATATATAAATCATAGATTCTGGCGATAAAAATTCTCTAGAACGACACTTTGCATCATTTGCAAGGCATTTTTCGGATTTCAGTGTTGCATTTTACAATCCTCTGTTAAAACGCGTATCAGATATTTGAAATTGTTGTACTTGTTTGATTTTACTATCTTCAATTTGTAATTTGCATGTTGGGCTGTTCATTTTGCTGGCAATCATGTAATCTGACTTCTTGTAATTGAGGTTTAGTCCTTTCTTCTTGCTTTCCTATCTTCTGTAGGAGTTCTTGTAGTTTCTTTTCTCTGTCTGCTATCAACACCGTGACATTTCTTATGTTGTTATGTATCCTGGTAAAACTTCTAATTCTATCAGAATCACCTCACTGTATAAGTTGAATAAGTCTGGTGAAAAGAAATATTCTTGTCTTACACAACTTTTTAATTTTGTATATTTACTTGAACTCATTTTCTATCGAAATGCAGATGGTTTGCTGCTGGTAAAGGTTCTGGATTATTCTAATATCCTTCCCTCATATATCAATCTTACCACTAATTCTTTGTGATGTTGTACAAAATTAAATTGAAAAAGAAATGTGAATTACAATGTTTATGCATTAGAAATATATAAGAAACTGAAAAATAGTATTATCCTGGTTTTTTCAACAAAATCCCGAAATACAATGTTCGAAATTAAACTTAAGCAACTTGGAATAATTCATATGAACAATAAAAACAAAAAAGAAAAATACATTAATTGAAAACAAAAAACCCTTCTTTATGAGTTAAACTCGGCTTTCCTTTTTTTTTTATTAATATTTTGCATCTTTTGCAAGGCATTTTTTAGATTTCAGTGTCACATTTTACATTCTTTGTTAAAACGTGTATCAGATATTTTAAATTGTTGTACTTGTTTGATTTTAGTATCTCCAATTTGTAATATGCATGTTGGGCTGTTCGTTTTGCTAACAATCATGTATTCTGACTTCCTGCTATTGAGGTTTATTTCTTTCTTCTTGCTTCATTACTTTCTGTCGGAGTTCTTGTAGTTTCCTTTCCGTGTCTACTATCAACACTGTGTCATCTGCATATCTTCTGTTGTTAAAATTGCCAATAATGAATCCTGATAGGACTTCTGTTTCTCTCAAAATTGCCTCATTGTATAAGTTCAATAAGTCTGGTGAGAAGACACG